CAAGCCCCCAGCCCGGGGGCAAGCCAGGTGCGGCTCGGCCCGAGAGGGAGGGGGGGGGCACGGCCCCGTCTCATGAATTGCCCCCCACCACCCTCAGCAATCCCCTGCTCCCAGGCTCAGGTGAATTCCGCATCCTCACCCGGGGCTGCGGCCTGCAACCCCCTCCCCCAGCCCCTGGCACCTTCTCCGGAAAGAGCCACTGTGAACCCCCCCGGCCGCCTCCGCCCCTTGCTCTAAATGCAAACAGATTAAAGCCTGAAGAACTCGCGCTGCTGCATTATTTATGGGGCCTCTTAGAGTGGTCCTGTTGCCACCGAGACCGGGGAGGGGGGAGCGGGTGATGATAAAGCAAAATCTGCAGGGTGGAAAGGCGCTGGGCAGGGCCCGCTGGGAAGCCGGGCCGCCCGGGGGCTGTGCGGGGCCCGCGCCCGGCCTCCGCTGCTGGGCCGGGCTCTCCGCAAACAGGCAGACAAAGCAGCCAGGACCCCCCGGCCCCGGCCCGGGAGCCCCCGCCCCCTACTCGCTACGGGAGACTGACAAATTTGTTAATCAAATAAATCTGCATGGATAAAGTTTATAGAGCCGGACAGGCAGCCCCCGCGCCGGGCCCGGAACGCGGTCCCCGGCTCCCGGCCCGGACTGCGGCGCGCACACACGTACCATAACGCGCGTTAGGCGCTCTCCGCCAGCCCCGGCTGGCCAGGCGGCAGGGAGGGGCAGGGCTGAAGGGCGCTGCGGGGGGGGGCTCCGTTCCCGGAGTGCCCTGCTCCACGCGGAGCAGCTCAATATACCCCGAAAGGGCCGCTGAGGCCGAGCTGAGTGAGGGGCTCCCGGCTGCGCGGCATGAAAGCAACTCTCCAGTCGCTGCCTCCTCCATGCTGCATTTTTCCGAGCGAGGATGAAAAGGAAGAGCCACACATGGGGGGGGCTCACCGAGGCCCGGGAGGCACCGGGCGGGGTGGGGGCTGCACCCTGCGGGGCTCCGATGCACCCTGTGCGGGGCAGGAGAGAAGAGAAAGGGACCTCACGGCACCCCCGCACCCCAGCTCTGCTGCGCTGCCTTCCCCGCCTGCCACCCCGCACCCCCCGCAGGCGAGACAACCTCAGCCCCCGCCAGGTTTGGGGGAAACCGCTCGCACGAGAGATCATGTTGTGACATGTCAAAAGGGTGCGTGTTTTGATAAACACGTAATTAGTGCCAGGCTCCGTGCAGCTGGCGGGCGGGCAGCGGAGAGGAGCGTCTGCAGCGCGCCCAATGGGCAGAGCATTTGCGAACGGAGCCCGAAGTGATCATTAGGGCGAGTGTGCGTGTGCGGGTCTGGGGTGCGCGGGTGCAGCACCCCCCAGCTCCGTGTCCGCGCCCCGCTGCGGAGCAGGGCCCGGCCGGAGGCAGCG